AAGGCTCGCAGTCGAGACTCCGCAACCTCAGAACGAGCATAATATGCAACATCACCGAGCGCTCAACTGGTGACGTCTGAGTCTTAAGGTCAGTCAAAAATGGGGTGTCTACACTACCAAAAAATATAAGTGTGCCTTAGAAGAAGGTGGAAATATTTGGCCTATCAAATTCATTGCCTAGCCTCTAAAAGGCATGAGCTTCTTTGGAGGGCCATGCAAGGGGTTACTCAACACATACAACAAGAACACTTAACATGGCAAAACCAACTCTGGAAATCAATTATGACAGCCCTAAAACTCACGAAATTGGCCCTGAAATGGGTCAAGGAAGCGCGCAATGAAAGGCCCTTTTGAGAGGCCTTGAATGGAATTGTTCTACACATACATTATAGACATAAAATATGGTCAAAGAGGCTCCGGGCAGAGCTAAGGCAGGCCTTGAAACTCACCAAATTGAGCCCAAAAAGTGACTTCACAACATGCAAGTGAAGGTCCCTTTGGGAGGCCAACAAAGCTAGTAAAGAGAATGAGGGGTGAGAGGGTCACCCCTCTATGATTTTGAAGCTCAAAGGTATATCTAAGCCACTGAAAATCCGCTGGATTTTAGTGGCTAAAAGGCCAAATCAAGGCCAATGCAAGTTCTCACATGTATAGCTCAAAACATGAGAAAATAAGGCATGAAAGGGGGTAGATGACCCCAAACAAAGAAAGTATCTTAAACAAACATGTTTATAAGCTCAAAAGGAAACTTTTTCAAGTTTATGACAAATCTCGAAAATGCTCACAAGTAGGGCTAAGATATGATGCAAAATAAGCCTACAAAGAGGGACAAAGCATACAAGGGTGTAGGAGACCTCAAACAGAAAAGTGTCCTTAATCAATATTCAAGAGGAGCCCAAAATATGACACTTTTTAGTTTATGACAAAGTCCAAAAATACTTTCAAGTAAGGCTAATCAATGGAGCAAAAAGATGCAAGTTTAAGGGAAAGGTGCTTACCCTTGAAGAGCAGCAAAGCTGGAGCTTCTGGACCAAGTTGGTGAACCTTCAACCCTTGCAAATCAGTCCCAAAGTGCTGGAATGGATGGAGGAGGTGTGGTGCTAAGGGTTGTAGTGCAAATGGTCCAAGAAAACAAGGGTTTGGAAGCTCAAGTGTAGAGATATAGAGAGAGAGAGAGTTGTAAGCCTTCAAAGTTGTTCAACCCTTGCCATAGAACATCAGCCTCCCCTTTATAGAGGAGAGGCTCTAAAATATCCCAAAAGGGCTTCACATATCCTCCATACACGTGTATGGAGGATGGTCCAATTGTCTCACAACTGGCACAGCTGTGATGCATTCAGAGAGGGCAAAAAGCAGGCCGGCCAGTTCAAGTGGCCGGCCAGCCACTCCCCCTGGTCGGTCAACCAGGGGTCAAAAGGTTCAAGAAGAATTTCTGGCCGACCACCCCAAAAAGGTGGCCTCCCAGATGAGTGCAACACAGTTGTATAGTGAAAAACTAGAAAATATGACCCAAGAGAGAGAAAAACCAGCTTTTTAGCAAGGTTCAAAAGGGTCAAGATGAATTACTGGCCGGCCTACCCATATTGGTGGCCTCCCAGATGAGCACAACACAATGGTGGTATGAAAAGCCAGAAATTGTGGCTCAAAAGTGAGTCTGAACAAGCACATTATGCAACATCACCAAGCGCTCAATCGGTGACGTCTGAGTCTTAAGGTCGGTCAAAAATGGGGTGTCTACAGTCCCTACCAAAAATGGACCAAGACGGATGCAAAACGAGGGTTCGGGGGCCAAAACGCGCAGTCTGGGGGTCCGAAAACAGGCTGTTAGGCACCGGAAGTGGCGTATGACCACGAAGGTGGTCTCCCGGGCCACAGTGTCCCTCTAAAGGGAGGAAATAAGGTGTGTGCCAAAAACCGGAGCAATCGGAGGTAATGAAGCAGTCCCGAACCGAGGCGTACGGCCGACGGCTCCAAAAACCAAAAACTGACCTCCAAACGAGAAAAATGGCCTACGACTGCGAAACGTAGCCTACGTCCACTGAGAGATGGTCTACGGGACCTTTCCCTCCCTTCAGGAAGAGAAAACAGGACCTAGTTCGCAAACCGAGGCAAAGTACAAAAGAGCCCCGAAGTCCGGAGGCAAGGCTCGCAGCCGAAACTCTGAAACCTCAAAACGAGCACAATATGCAACATCACCGAGCGCTCAACTGATGACGCCTGAGTCTTAAGGTCGGTCAAAATAGAGTGTCTACAGCCGTCAATTTCAGTATCTAGCCATAATCACAATAGATAATTTCCCAATTTGGATAGATATGCACAATTAAGACATATAATCATTCATTAATACATAATTCAATTAGTATAATCATGACTTGTATTTTTGGGCTGTTACACCTACTTATCTAGGCCGAGATCTTGTCTTTTAGATCTGGGATCTGTTTTCTTAGGCTGAGCTCTTGTCTTCTTGGACCTAATCATCTAGGCCGAGATCTTGTCTTCTACATGTGGGATCTGTTCACTTAGGTTGAGCTCTTGTCTTCTCAAGCCTATTCATCTAGGCCGAGATCTTGTCTTTTGGGATCTACTCACTTAGGCTGAGCACTTGTCTTCTTGTACCTACTCATCTAGGTCGAGATCTTATCTTTTAGGATTTGGGATCTGCTCACTTAGGCCGAGCTCTAGTCTTCTAGAACTTACTTATTTAAGTCAAAATCTTGTCTTCTAGATCTCATATCTACTCACTTAGGTTGTGCTCTTGTTTTCTCAAACCTACTCATCTAGGTCAAGATCTTGTCTTCTGGGATCTGGTATCTGCTCACTTAGGCTGAACTCTTATCCTCTCAGACCTACTCATTTGGGCTGAGATCTTGTCTTCTAGGATCTAGGATCTGCTCACTTAAGCTGAGCTCTTGTCTTCTAGGACATAATCATCTAGGCCGAGATCTTGTCTTCTAGGATCTGGGATCTGCTCACTTAGGTTGAGCTCTTGTCTTCTCTGACCTATTCATCTAGGCCAAGATCTTGTCTTTTGGGATCTAGGATCTACTCACTTAGGCTGAGCTCTTATCTTCTCAGACTTACTCATTTAGGCTGAGATCTTGTCTTCTGGGATCTAGTATCTACTTACTTAGGCTGAGCTCTTATCTTCTCAGACCTACTCATCGAGGGCAAGATCTTGTCTTCCGGATCTGGGATCTGCTCACTTAGGCTGAGCTTTTGTCTTCTCGGACCTAATCATCTAGGCCGAGATCTTGTCTTTTGGATCTGGGATCTGCTCACATAGGTTGAGTTCCTGTCTTCTCGAACCTATTCATCTAGGCTGAGATCTTGTCTTCTGAATCTGGGATCTACTTTTTTAGGCTGAGCTCTTGTCTTCTCTGATCTAATCATCTAGGTCGAGATCTTGTCTTCTGGATTTGGGATATGCTCACTTAGGTTGAACTCCTGTTTTCTCGGACCTATTCATCTAGGCCGAGATCTTGTCTTTTGGATCTGGGATCTGTTCACTTAGGCTGAGCTCTTGTCTTCTCTGACCTTCTCATCTTAGTCAAGATCTTGTCTTCTGGGATCTAGGATTTGCTTACATTGGCTAAACTCCTGTTGTCTCGAACTTACTCATCTAGGCTGAGATCTTGTCTTCTGGATCTGGGATCTGCCCACTTAGACTGAGCTTTTGTCTTCTCGGACCTAATTATCTAGGCCGAGATCTTGTCTTCTGGATCTGGGATCTACTCACTTAGGCTGAGCTTTTATCTTCTCGGACCTAATCATCTAGGCCGAGATCTTGTCTTCTCGGACCTAATCATCTAGGCCGAGATTTTGTATTCTGAATCTGGAATCTGCTCATATAGGTTGAGTTCCTGTCTTCTCGGACCTATTCATCTAGGCCGAGAGCTTGTCTTTTGGATCTAGGATATGCTTATTTAAGCTGAGCTCTTGTCTTTTCAGACCTAATCATCTAGGTTGAGATCTTGTTTTTTGGATCTAGGAACTGCTCACTTAGGCTGAGCATTTGTTTTCTCGATCTTATTCATCTAGACCGAGATCTTGTCTTCTGGATTTGGAATCTGCTCACTTAGGCTGAGCTTTTGTCGTCTCAGACCTACTCATCTAGGCCGAGATCTTGTCTTCTAGGATCTGGAATCTGCTTACATTGGCTGAGCTCTTGTTTTCTCAGACTTACTTATCTAGGCTGAGATCTTGTCTTCTGGATCTAAAATCTGCTCACTTACATTGAACTCTTGTCTTCCCAAACCTACTCATCTAGGCCGAGATCTTGTCTTCTAGGATCTAGGATTTGTGATGCACTTACTTAAGCTGACCTTTTGTCTTCTCGGACCTACTCATCTAAGCCGAGATCTTGTCTTCTGAGATGTGGGATCTGCTCACTTAGGCTGAGCTCTTGTCTTCTCGGACCTAATCATCTAGGCCGAGACCTTGTCTTCTGGATCTGGAATCTGCTTACTTAGGTTGAGCTCTTGCCTTCTCAGACCTAATTATCTAGGCCGAGATTTTGTCTTCTGGGATCTTGGATCTACTCACTTAAGCTAAGCTTTTCCATCTTGGTTCTGCTTCACCTAGGCCATACTCTTCCATCTAGGATTTGCTCCACCTAGACAATACTTTTCCATCTTGGATCTGCTTCACCTAAGCCATGGTCTTCCATTTGGGATCTGCTCCGCCTAGGCCATGCTCTTCCGCATTGAATCTATTTCAACTAGGCCAATGTCATTTCTACTTGAAGGTCATCTTCATCTCCTCAATAGCACTCTTGCCTCCTTATCTTTGCATTCATTCCTTCTGAAAGGGTCTTCATTCCGTCAATGTTGATGCATTCTCCATCTTCACTAAACTCGTCGTCGCCGACACGTTGATCTTGTACGATGATGGCCATCTATTCTAATTAAGTCTCCATAAAGGTGTCAAATTGTGGGTGTTGATTTTTGACCACACAACAAAACATGGAACTTAGCTAGAGAGCACGTGGTAGAATAGATTAAGCTAGCACCTATGCACAAGAAGACAAGAAATACCACGGTGATTTGTCCATCCGGGGGCACTCCAACGATCAAGTCATTCAACTTGTCTCACAAGATATCATTAACTCAGATCAAGAGCTCACAAAATAAATCACATACCTTAGACCTACAGGGATGTCTTACATTTATAATGATCAGTGTCCAACTTCCCTTAGAAGTCTCACTTAATTGGATTCTGTTCTTTACAAGGATAATATCTATCACAACTCACACTATTCAGATTAAGATGAACTTCCTCAAGAGATCCATCTCCATCCAAATAGATAGTTTCACTACAAAAAAATTGTTTTTTTGCGGGGTAAAATACCGTCGCAAATACCCAAAACGCTGTCTCAAAAGCTTTTTTGCGACGGCAGATGGCTTTTAGCGACTGTAAGGTCTTTAGCGACGGTAAGACGCCGTCGCAAAATATAGGTGACGGTAAAAATGGCTTTTAGCGACGGCAAAATACTGTCGCCATTAATGTGTAGAAATTTGAAGTTTTTGAGACGGCACTAAAATACCATCGCTAAAATGGTTATTTGTGACGGCAAAAATACCGTCGCTAAATGTTTATTTGAGACCGCAAATATGCCGTCGCTAAAATGTTTATTTGTGATGGTAAAAATACCGTCGCTAAAATGCTTATTTGAGACAGGAAAAATGCCGTCTCTAAAATATTATTTGCGACGGTGAAGAATACCGTCGCTAAAGGCCTTTTGTTTCAACTAATTAATAAATGCCAATATCTTTGGCGATGGCTATACTACCGTCGCAAAAAACCTGGTTCTAATTTTTTTTGAGATAGTGTCGTGCCGTCTCAAAAAAAAAAAAAAAAACTGCAATAAAATTATTAAAAATATGAAAATTACTTGTATTAAATGAAAATAACAAAAAAAAAACCAATACTTATATAATAATATAAAAATTCCTGTATATAAATAAAAATCCATCCATAATTAAAGTATTCTTCCATTCATAACAACACATCATCAAAATTATCCCACCACATAATGTTGCATAATACATACATAATGTTGTTCACAAATCTGAATAACCTAAATCAAAAATAAAAGTTTTCGTAAATCAAAAATAAAAGTTTTCTTCATAATTCTTCCATGGGTTACAAAAACAAAAGTTCGTCGCAATCTTCACACGGCTGCATTCCACAAGAAGCAAACTGCTACTCAGGAAATATCTGAAAATAAAAAATAAAAATAATTAATGACAATATAATTATGTGTTAATATTTTAATTACAAAAAAACATAAAAAATTAATTACTATATAATTACAAAGATAGTTAAGTAAATAATTTTGGCTAGACAGAAATCCGACCCTAACTCTCAAATCGGGAACCTGATTCGAGTCCTGTCTTCTCCCACAAGTCTCTCGTGCCTAGGCGGTCGTGTGTACCAAGTTTCGTGCTAAACCGATGTCGTTTGGTGATTTTGTGGGGTCAACACCTCGAATTCAAGTTTCTTAAGGAACTAGTTTGCCTAGAGTGATATCCGACTCTAACTCCCAAACCGGGAACCCGGTTGGAGTCCCGTCTTCTCCCACAAGTCTCTCGTGCCTAGGCGGTCGTGTGTGCCAAGTTTTGTGCCAATCTGAGCTGGTTTGGTGATTTTGGGGCGTCAACACCTCGAATTCAAGTTTCTTAAAGAACTAGTTTGCCTAGACCGAAATATGGCTCTAACTCCCAAACCAGGAAACCAATTGGAGTCCCGTCTTCTCCTACAAGTCTCTCGTGCCTAGGCAGTCGTGTGTGCCAAGTTTCATGCCAATCTGACCCCGTTTGGTGATTTTGGAGCTTCAACACCTTGAATTCAAGTTTCTTAAGGAACTAGTTTGCCTAGACTAAAATACGGCTCTAACTCCCAAATCGGGAACCCGATTCGAGTCCCGTCTTCTCCCACAAGTCTCTCGTGCCTAGGCGGTCGTGTGTGCCAAGTTCCGTGCCAATCCGACCCCGTTTCTTGATTTTAGGGCGTCAACACCTCGAATTCAGGTTTCTTAAGGAACTTGTTTGCCTAGAGTGATATCCGACTCTAACTCCCAAATCGAGAACCCGATTCGAGCCCCGTCTTAGCTCACAAGTCTCTCATGCCTAGGCGGTCGTGTGTACCAAGTTTCGTGCTAAACCGACCCCTTTTGGTGATTTTGGGGCGTCAACACCTCGAATTCAAGTTTCTTAAGGAACTAGTTTGCCTAGAGTGATATCTGACTCTAACTCCCAAACCGAGAACCCGATTGGAGTCCCGTCTTCTCCCACAAGTCTCTCGTGCTTAGGCGGTCGTGTGTGCCAAGTTTCATGCTAAACAGACCCCTTTTAGTGATTTTGGGGCTTCAACACCTCGAATTCAAGTTTCTTAAGGAACTAGTTTGCCTAGAGTGATATCTGACTCTAACTTCCAAACCAGGAACCCGATTGGAGTCTCGTCTTCTCTCACAAGTCTCTCATGCCTAGGCGGTCGTGTGTGCCAAGTTTTGTGCCAAACCGACCCCGTTTCGTGATTTTGGGGCATCAACACCTCGAATTCAAGTTTCTTAAGGAACTTGTTTGCTTAAAGTGATATCCGACTCTAACTCCCAAACCGGGAACCCGATTCGAGCCCCGTCTTCGCGCACAAGTCTCTCATGCCTAGGCAGTCGTGTGTGCCAAGTTTTGTGCCAATCCAAGCCCGTTTGGTGATATTGGGACGTCAACACCTCAAATTCAAGTTTCTTAAGGAACTAGTTTGCCTAGACTGAAATACGGCTCTAACTCCCAAACCGGGAACCCGATTCGAGTCCTGTCTTCTCCCACAAGTCTCTTGTGCCTAAGCGGTCGTGTGTGCCAAGTTTTGCGCCAATTCGACCCCGTTTCGTGATTTTGGGGCGTCAACACCTTGAATTCAAGTTTCTTAAAGAACTAGTTTGCCTAGACCGAAATATGGCTCTAACTCCCAAACCGGGAAACCGATTGGAGTCCCGTCTTCTCCCACAAGTCTCTCGTGCCTAAGCGGTCGTGTGTGCCAAGTTTCGTGCCAATTCAACCCCGTTTCGTGATTTTGGGGCGTCAACACCTCGAATTCAAGTTTCTTAAAGAACTAGTTTGCCTAGACCGAAACATGGCTCCAACTCCCAAACTGGGAAACCGATTGGAGTCCTGTCTTCTCCCACAAGTCTCTCATGCCTAGGCGGTCGTGTGTGCCAAGTTTCGTGCCAATCCAACCCCGTTTGGTGATTTTGGAGCGTCAACACCTCGAATTCAAGTTTCTTAAGGAACTAGTTTGCCTAGACCGAAATACGGCTCTAACTCCCAAACCGGGAACCCGATTCGAGTCTCGTCTTCTCCCACAAGTCTCTTGTGCGTAGGCGGTCGTTTGTGCTAAGTTTCATGCTAAACCGCCCCTTTTTAATGATTTTGAGGCGTTAACACCTCGAATTCAAGTTTCTTAAAGAACTAGTTTCTTAAAGAACTAGTTTGTCTAAAGTGAAATCCGTCTCTAAGTCCTAATCCGGGAACCCGATTTGAGTCTCGTCTTCTCCCACAAGTCTCTTAGCTTAGAATGCAAAGATACATTTTAGCTTAGAATGTAAAGATACATTTTATACCTAATCTTCTGGTGGTGGTGTATATGGATTCTCGTCTTCTCCAGATTCCCTAAATGCCCCGTGGCCACTCGATGCATCAGGAGCCTATGATAGTCAATGCATAATGTGTTAATCATATTCAAATTTTATACATAATGTTGTGTGAAAATTTAACTATCAAACAATTTAATTTATATCGAACCTGTCTGTTGGGATCCACACTAGCCCCTTCTGACACAAAGGCCATCATCTCAGCTCTCAGTTGCAGTAAATGTGTAGAGAACTCTGCTCGCAGCTCCTCCCTCAACTCATCCCTTAGCTCCGCACGAACCTGCTGGGTGATCTGAACAATAGTCGATGGCTGGGGTGCTGACTGTGATGGCCCAACACCATCTTTATACACTGCTCTTCGTGGCACAGTTCTCTCGTATGTGTAACAATATCCATGATTGTCATGACCTATCAACTCATGGAAAATGGCATTCTTAGCCTCCAAAGTCCAACAATCCTCAGGTAGTATAGAGAGTTGGCCATTAAACTCATCCTGTATTGAATAAGACATACAAGTATATGCCAAATTAAGATGGTTGACACACAAAAAATAAAAAATAAACTTTAAATACAATCAAAGGTGTTCGGAAACTACCAAGGTCTGGATAACCTCTAGGTCATCTGCTCTACGTGTCATAAGCCAAACATTCATCTTATCAGTAGACTCCCCCTTATTGGTCATCTACATTTTTTTAGAAATATGAAAATTAGAATCCAAATAATTTGCAAATACACAATGTTTATTTACATACAAAAATAAAACAATAAAATATAAACCTCATGCCGTATCTGAGTGAAAGTAGTACGCCCTGTGGTATGAGCTATGCCGCCGATTTTTAGCGTTCTTAGTTGTAATTTTCTATAACAGGTTCAACAAATGTAAGTATATAAATATGATTTGTATGTTTACATATCATACATATAACTTATTTGTATACCTCAGCATCAGAAGTACGCCAATACTCCACAAGTTCTTCCCACTGGCTTGGCACAATGTGCAAAGGAACATCATCCTTCAGATTAGGATCTTCGCTTCTAGGCTTGAAATACTTAGACTTAATCTTATTCTTGTGATCCTTCCATATGCTGTTACAGTTTTTCATGCAAATTGGTTTGTACTCCTCTGGACATATATTCAAATTGTCCTATAAAACATAATTTGAAAGTTTAAATAATAATAACACAATTTTGGAATTTAAATTTTTGGATAAAAATATACTTTTACCTTCATATCCTTCCAGATAGCATCAAGAATGTCACCAGGCACAGTGTTCCAGTCAAGAAAAGTAAGAGGAACAATGTTACCATTTCGCACAATAATGCAAAGTTAAGTAGTTAACTTAGACACGTTATCCCTTATTGGACAGTAATTTTCATCAAATTGTATGTCCAACTTTGTACCAGTACCCCACTCCCTAATGCCCTTGGCACATCCTTTACCACGCCTACTCGAGGTTGATAAAGAACTAACATGACCTGCGAGATACAATAAGAATAAACAATATGCAATGATAATAAACAAATGCAAATTTAAATAATGTCAATACATATCAATTTCTTATACCTGAGGGAGGCTGTGAAGAAGTCGAAGGGTCTGAAAAATACAATGAAAATAAACAAGTTATATGTAATGAGAACAAATAAATATATATTTAAATAATTTTCATACAAATCAAAGCAAATTTATATACCTGCGGATGGCTCATAAGCCGATGACTCTAGTCGGGATGATAGCTGCTGCGGTACCACTGATAGTGGACGCATCGATGGTAGGCCTAGAGGCTGAGTAGATGATAGCTGCTGTGGTGCCATTGATGGGGGTCGATGCGGTGGCACTAATGGCCCCTCTGATGGTGTTCGCTGTGATGCCTCTTCTAATGGTGGTGCCACTGATGGTGGACGCACCAATGGTAGGCGTGGAGGCTGAGTAGATGATAGCTGCTGTGGTGCCACTAATGGTGGTCGATACGGTGGCACTAATGGTGCTCGTTGTGATGCCTCCTCTAATGGTGGTGCCACTAATAGTGGTCGCTGCGGTGGCTGGTCAGATAGTGGTGGCACTAATGGCCCTTCTGATGATGGTCGATATGATGCCTCCTCCGATGGTGGTGCCGCTGATGTCCTCTTACGTACCACATCAGACATCATGCGCCGGGGATGATCAGGCTTCCTCTTCCTTCCCATAATAATCTACAAGCAATATAACATTAATTGACATTAGAAACATAGACAATGGTTTGTCATCAACTATAATCGGACATTAATTGAACTAATACAATTACAAAGACAAAGTAAATTAAGAAACTGATGATTAACTACAACCTTGGCCTTAATTGAATTACTGATGTTGATTAAATATCAGCCTATTTGAACATCAACTGTTTCCCCTTCTGCGGCTTCCCTCACCCAACCAACTTCTTCATCACGAAGCATTATATTTTCTTCCAATTGTTGGCTCATAAATGGCTCGATTTGTGGATTAGTCGAACTCATATCAAATAAACCTCTTTGAGACATCTTCACCGCTACTTGCCAGTCTGGTTGTAATGGGTCTGCAGCATACCAAACTTGCTCTGCTTAGGATGCCAAGATGAAAGGTTCATTGGTAATTCGATCATCTCGGTACAACAAATGATTGAAGTTGACTAACGTGAAATTGAAGACATCTTGTATCTTCCCATGAATGTTGCTAATCCAATCACACTTAAACAACACATGCTTATTCTCATTGGAATATCGAATCTCAACAATATCTGTCAATTGTCCATAATAGCACACAGACCCCACACGAGGATTCTTGTCTTTCCGACTAGCATAACTTATGGTATCTGCCTTCAAAGCTACACCACAATTTTGTGTGGCTCGACGGTCATCCATGGCCTTTACTCGATACCGAAACCCATTCATTATATACTCGTTGAACCTCCTGGCCAGGTTATGAAGACCATTTGTCACTACAGTAATCTCTTCAGAAAATGTGACATCACTAGTCCTTCGCAAAGTTTAAACCTATTTTAAAAAATAAAAATTATAAAATTTAAAATGTAGTTTGACTTAGGTAAATAGAATCTGTAGATTTAAATACATGCATATTCCTTGAACCAAATGTGAAAAGTTTCAAAATATTCACGCCGACGTTGATGATCGTTAACACGAGGCATTTTGACCTTAAGTTCTTCAAGGTGTTTTCCATGTAAATTGAAATTTTATCAAAAAACAAAATTTGGTTCAAAATTCAATGAAACATAATAAAATATTGAGTGAGTGACATAACTTACTTTATGAATGGTTGAACTGCGGATGTATTGAATAAGGCATACCGATGAGTTTGTGCCCAAGAAGTGTTATCAAGATAAAAGCTTGTGATTTCACCAACAGCACGACTGTAGACACCCCATTTTTGACCGTCCTCAAGACTTGGACGTCACCGTTTGAACACATGGTGATCTTCCATGTTTGTGTTCGTTTGGAGTTCCCGGAGGTCTCGGCTCGCGTGCCCTGCCTCAGGATCTCCGAACTCAACCGTTTAGTGTCTGGTTTTGTACCAAACACTTGCATCTTGCCCATGAGAGGCAGGGTGGGGCTTGTAGACCATCCCGACCCACCACCGGTAGTGGCTAGAGGCCACCGGCTGGTGTTTTGCTGCCACCGGCAATTTTTATTGCCGGCCGGCACTTTTTTGTTGCCGGTCAGCACTATTTTGTGCCGGTCGGCACTCTTTTTTGGCCAAGATGGCATTTTTGGCCGGCCGATTGCTGTTCATCTGCTTTTGCAGATATTTTTAGATAGCTGTCTTGCTTTTGCATCCCTCCATACACGTGTATGGAGGGATCTCCCTCTTGTAAAGCTTGTCTTGTAAGCTTTACAAGACATATAGAGAGAGGCTCTCTCTTGTTAGAGGAGGTTGGAGGGAATTGAGATATTTTGAGAGCAAAAAATAGCCATTGTTGAGCTCTTGTTCTAGGGTTTGAGTTAGATACACTTTCTATCTCTCTTTCCCTCTCGTTTGTGCACTAGGTGTTTTGTGTCTTACTATTGCACACAAACACCTAGTGTTTCACCTTCCTTTGGCTTTTGAGGTTCTAAAGGACTGTTTTTGAAGTTTTGGTGTAGGATCCAAGCTAAAGGAGGCCATTGGAGCACCATTTGTGAAGAGGTCTACAAGGGTGAGAACCTAGTCTCATTTTTCCCCATTTTTGCATTGATTTTCTACTTGTCTTAGAGCTGTTTTTGTGCTTATTGTATAACATAAAAGTTCTATTTTTAAGCCCTCTTTATTGTTTATTAAGAGTGTTTTGTTGTTTGAGGGTAGTTGACCACCCTTAGGCCTTAAAAGGCCTCATTTTGAGCCATTTTGTGCTAGCTCCGGGATTTTGGTGTTGGGGTCTCTTCACCACTAAAATATTGAGAGATTTCAGTGGTGAAGATGATGCCTTGAAGTCCCAAGAAGGAGAGGGCCACCCCTCTCCTTGTTGTCCTTGAAAAGGGCATATTTTGGCCTCTTGAGAGAGCATTATGCTTGAGTGTGTGTTGAGCATGTTTAGGCTGTTTTTCATGCTTATATATCCATAATATAACATGACTTTAAGTTGGTTTTGGTACTCCATGCATGCTTAGCATAGTTGCCTTGTAATGCCATGTTTATGCCTTAATGTGCCTTAGGTTGTTAACCTTGTGGGAGCATGTTTTAGGCTTAGTTTTGGAAGATTATTTGCTTATTTTGCCATGTTTTAGGTCTGTCCATAAGTGTTTGGGTCGATTTTGGCATGCTTGATATAGCTCCTTTGTATTTGGGCTTGTTAGCCTTGAGTATGTGCATGTGTAGCATGACATCTTTGCATCGAATGGTGATTTGGGGTCCTTCCACATGTTATTTCAGTCCCATTTCCATGCTTGTTTGATTGCCTTGCATGCCTCTTTAATGCTTTGGAAGCTTGTGTAGCAATGCTCCATGTTTTGGTGTCTATGTATGCCTTTGTATTTGGGCCACTTAGATGCCATCTAAGGAGTCCTTTGGCCTCGTTTTGACATGCTAAAAATCTGTTTTAGTAGTTTAATGCATGCCATGTTTGTTCTGATAAACATGCTTCAAAGCTTCATACTTGCTTCAAGTACTTGGACCATGCTTGCATGCACTTGCTTGTCTTGTTTAATGTGATTTGGCTTCTTATAACATGAATTTAGAGCTCGCGTTGCATGCCAATTGTTCATGATTGCCTCTTTCAAGTGTGCTTGAATGTTGCTTGCTTTGTGCCTAAGTGTTGGGCCTTAACATGTGTATGTGTGTATGTATGTTTAGCCTTCATTTTTGGGCATTATGGCCACTGTTTTGGGCCTAACTAGAGCTGCCTAATTCATGTTTAAGACCATCCTTTGCTTATTGCATGCTCACCTTGCATGTTTGCTTGTATCGGCATGTTGCATCCTTAGCTCGTATGCCTAAGTTGCATTTCATCTTGCATGCATCACCTGCTTCTCTTGAGATGAGATATGATAGAGGTTAGGCCTCCTTGTGTGTTTATTTGGTTTGCATGCATTTTTGAAATTGAAGTTGCACACTTGATTCTTTGGGCCATCATGCATAGAAATGCGTGATTGGTGGTCGCAGAATTGGGGCACATCCTCCTTTGAGTCATTAACATGATAAGGAATGTGATGGGTGCATAAATTGCTTGAATTGCATTGCTATGCAAGATTTTGCCCTTGCTGCTGTGGGTTGCAGGTTCTGCAGGAATTTATTGCCGGCCGGCAGTATTTAGTGCCGACCGGCAGTCAATCGATGGCCGGTGGATCTATTTTGTGCCGGTGACTAAATGCTACTGCCGGTGGAAATTCTGCACAGCCGATGATATCCCCCAGTGTCCTGAGAGGCATCCCTGAGACTTTGGCAGTTTTCAGAGGAGCAGAGCAGGGAAAACAGAGGCAAACTATGCATGGCAGTGCGATTCCGGCCAGTCCCGAGCATGTGTTGCATCTGGCCCTCGCCGAGGCGGTTTACTATTTTTCTTTAGTTTAGTTAATTTGTTAATTAATTAAGCAATTTGTAATATTTAATTAACTTGCGTAGTTAATTAATTTGTATTATTATTTTGGTCCCTCCGAGTGAGGGCATATTTGTAAAAGTGTGCGTGCGTGTGTGTATGTCTTCCAACCCCACTTCTTTCTTCCCTTTTATTTAACCTGCTTATGATGGTAGATTAGGGCACATTTATTTTAGCATACCTTATGCTATGCATGCGTGTATTCATGCACTTGTTGACATGCATCAGGCTCGGCACATCATGCTAACTACATTTGTACTTCAATTTCAAAATTGAATACGTGCATCAATATGATTGCATCTCACATGCCATGCTTAGGTTAGCCGAGCCTACTTCAATTGCATCCCGTATGTGTTGCATTAGTCAATCCAACATGAACTAGGACATGCATGTTGCTAACTAGTTTATTGTTTTGGCACGGAGTACGATGTAAGTGTTTTTGCTTAGCATCTCCGCATGCGTGTGAGTGTTGCCATGACAGTATGCTTAACATGTGGCTAGATGCTTATGTGTTATAAATTGTTTGATGCCTGTGGGTGAAGGTTGGATGTTTTGAGTTGGAAAAACTCGTTGAAATCCGTATTTTAGCCTACTTGCGAGTAGCAAATTCCCAAAGCATTTTCAAAACAAACGGATATGCAATGTTTATTCCCAAATTAGGCAATCTAGTCTATACTTGTTTGCTGTGCCCATAACATAGTAATTCTAGGCTAACAATTGGTTTAAGAACACATAAAGTTTTCAAAAAACGGATATCACGGTTAGTAGAGGCCGGTCTTCGGACCGGGCGAAAGGGGGTGCTCATAGCTGACCTTCCCCGATCGTACCAAGCTCCCGAGCCGAGACAACTCCGGTGATGACGGACATGTGGCCTTCGGCACCGAGTCAGGGTTTCCTAAATTCTTCCATAAAAAATTTTAGGTGGCGACTCTGTATCTGGCAAAGCAGTCCATGTTTGGCACTACTTTTTCAAAAATCTGTTTCTCAAAACGATTTGCCAGATTTGGACTCTTTGGTTCAGATTAAGAACCGTGACACAAAATCGAGTCCGAACTGTTAGCATGAGGCCCACGGGCACGCGGGCGCGTCTACAACGACCCAGATTATCATCACCACTGTAGTTCCTTACGGGTCGATTAGATTTAGTTTCCACATCATTAAGATATTGTGCACAAAAATTCAGGCATTCTTCCATAAGATATCCTTTAGCAATGAACCTTCTGGATGAGCTCTATTACGCACATATTGCTTCAAAGTAAGAAGATACCTCTCAATTGGATACATCCATTGAAACTGAATCGCTCCACCCAAATATGCTTCGTCAGCTAGATGTATAGGCAAGTGCTCCATTATATCAAAAAGTAAGAGGAAATATTTCTCTAGATGACAAAGTGTTACGGCAATACGATCTTGAATATATTGCAAATTCGTCGCACGATTCACTTGGAACACAATTGTCTAAAATTGCTCAATTCAATCAAAGGTTCAATTACATTCTTCGGTAACGATCTTCGAATGGCCAATGGAATTAGTGTTGCATCAGAATATGACTATCGTGGCTCTAAGAGCCCCAATATTTCTATCATGTAAGCACACGCGACGCGTATATTGGATGAATACCCGTCGGGAACTCTAACTTCCTTCAATACTTCAAGAACAAATCTTTCTCATCCTTGGTCATCGTGAATTGTGCCGGTGGTAAATAAGCTTTATTCAACCCTCTTAACTGCAAATGTAGGGTTTTCTAATATTCATTTCCTGTAATCACGCCGAGCATTAAACACCATCCTTCGATTTTCCTGCAACCCCTAATATTGTCCACAACACATTGTCACACAACATTCTTCTCTATATGCATCACATCGAGGTTGTGTCTAATTAGATTGTGCTCCCAATATGGCAGTTCATAGAAGATACTCTTTTTCTTCCAGCTATGGGTGCGGATGTCCAGCTTTCTCTTTCTCTACTTGTCTCCTATGCCTCTCCTTAAGGCATCCCTCTTGTATTTGGTTAAATACCCTAGATTCTAATTGTGCAGCATCTCAGTTCCAGACAACAATTTTGGTTTGAATCTGACTTCCCGACTACCATCAAATGATACTTTATCCTTTCGAAATTTATGGCCACTAGGTAAAAATCTGCGATGACCCAAGTATGATTGTTTCCTACTATGCTTCAACCAACACGATGTAGTTTCCCTATTGCAACAAGGACATGCATATTCGCCTTTACTGCTCCATCCTGACAAGTTTACATATGCAGGAAAATCACTAATTGTCCACAGTAAAGCTGCATGCATTTGAAACATTTGCTTTGTTGATGCATCAAATGTGAAGACACCGTCATTCCATAGTTCTTTCAATACTCATCAACGGTTGCATATACACATCAATCTTGTCACCAGTCCTTTCGGCCGTCAATAGCACAGATAAAGTTAGAAATGGTTGTTTCATGCACATCATAGCGGCAAGTTGTATGGAATGAGTACAACAGGCCAAGTGCTATGAACTATGTTCATCGTCTCTGAATGGGTTAAAACCATCAGATGCTAAGCCAAGCTTTACACTTCGGCAATCATTACTAAAGTCAATATTCCGACGATCAAAATCTTTCCATGCAAGGGAGTCTGCAGAATGCCTAAAGACACCGTCATTAGTTCGTTCCTCTGCATGCTATCTCATTAACTTAGCCGTCTTGGATGACATAAACAACCTTTGCAACCTTGGCTTTAAAGGAAATACCTCATTTGTTTTGCAGCTATTTGTTTGCCACCTTGTGAGGACCATTTGAACCACCATCACCATTTGATTTCCATCTTGAATTGTTGCATATGACACATTTATCAAGATTGGCGTTCTCGTTTCGAAACAACATGCAACTGTTGGGACATGCATCCCACATCTCATACGTGAAGCCCAAGTTTGTTGTGACCTTTTGAGCTTTATAATATGAGTCCGGGAGTTTCACACCCAACGGGAACGCCTCATTCAATAACTCAAGCAACATGTCAACAGACTTGTTTGTCCACTGATTAAGCACCTTCAGATGTAGAAGTCGAACAATGAATGACAAAGATGTGAACTTTTGACAACCCGGATACAATTCACTTTGTGCATCTTGAAAAAGTTTGAAATACTTTGCAGTCTCTGCATTTAGATCGAGCTGGGGTTCAGATGTATAGGGATCAGGCCCCTGTGGTTCATTACCCTCAACACTTGTACCGGCATATGGATTTCCCATAGCCCCTTGTATCATTCCAACCATATCGTCCCCAATGTCTAAATTAGCCAATGTTTCATTCTCTTCATTACCATACAGAGATACGTAAGATTCCCCATGATTAATCCAATGTTTGTACTTTTTTTAAAAAACCATTCAAAATCAAACAATCCCGTACACCCTCTCACACAAGATGGTATCGATTCTCATTTTTTCTACACGGACAACTAATCATCGAACCTTCAACCCTATTAGTGTAGGCAAACACAAAGAATTGATCAATCCCATTAATGTAATCCCTCGACATCCTATTTGGCAAATCAATCCAACTCTTATCCATCATATGTACTTCCCTCATATGTGTTTCCCACTATTAATTTGCTTCAGGCAAACTTACTGGGAGATATACATCTCACATGCAAAACAAATATGCCCTAGAAAAAAATATAATTACAACAAATGTAAGAGTCATAATGAGATGTAAGGGTAAAAATCTGTTGTGACCTTTTGAGCTTTATTTTATTTTAATAATTACTACATTTTGAATCATGTTCCCATAAAATCACAGCCTCTAAGGTCCAAAATGATATTCATGAAAGAAAAACCAAGATGCATATTTCGAAGAATTACTTACCAGATGGGGTAAGGAAGAAGAAGAATTACCTACCTCTGTATCAAGGTTAGAGGATGAAAATGATGAGCAACTGGACGAAGGTGCGTGTAAAGGATGTGCTTCTGTTGCAGCAGGATGTAAGCTCTCTGTCATTAAAGATTTGCCTGCATTAATAAATTAAATGTACAATAGAGCTATTTTTTATTTTTTTATTTTCTTTTCTTTTCTTTTCATTATGGCTTTTTATCAAACATGTTTTAATTCAAAAAAATTGTGAATGTAAAAAAAGGAAATCAAAATGAAATAGAAGTTGTGTTTTCAAAAAAATGAAAACAGAAATCGAAAACAAAGCCAAACACACTCCCTCGTTAATCTTTTTACAAATCTAAGATCCAAACACAAAAAAAAGTTCCTAGTTGTAAGGAGAGATTCCACTCGTCATTGGTTAATGTACTGTACCAACTGAAATAAAAAGATTTTTGCAACAAACACAAACAAAGGACATGATTTCATGACATCAAAAAGCAAAAGCAGCCCAGAACAATTTTTGGGATTCAACTATGTAACTAGAGGCAGAAGTATCAAGCAAAAAAGTGTGAGAGAATTAAAATTACCTCCAAACCAGGCACAAAATAGATCCACACATGTCCCAAAACACTTATACACATTTCAATACACTTTTTACACACTTTTTACCTTAACGGCTGTTTCTAGCATTGTTCAATATATATGTATATAAACATGTATGCAATAGAAAAGAAGGAACCTCATCCATAAACCATTACCTGAAACTAATGGATTGCCCCCTGTAAGAAACCACCATGAGCAGGATCACGAATATGACCAATATTTACAAGCCCTACCAATACAAAAATACATGCAATAACCTACAAAGAAGAACAGGACGAAGAGGGGGGAAAATCAGGAATGCACACATATAAGCCCACACACATCTAGAACCATGTAAACTAAGCATTTCAAATAACAAAATCCAATTATTATAACCATGATTGATGAATCAAATTGCCCTCAAGCTGCTAGACATTAGGCATATTTGATTATGGTTGCTTTGTCATAAGTCTATTTGTTTATGATTACTCGCTCTCCCTTTCCAATCAAATTACTCTTTAAATATGGCCTTGGCACAGCGGTAAAGCTTCTTCATTGCAACTTGGGCATCATGGGTTCAAGAATCAAGCCATGGAAATGGCCTCTTTGTACATGGAAACGAACTTCACTTATTTGTACTTTAATATGAAAATACAATAAAAAAGTATTTTATAACTCACAGCAAAAACAGGAACAAAAGGCACATTGACTTCAACGAAAAGGAACAAAAGAGACTAAAAGAAGGAATAAATAAATAAAACAAAAACTGAAAGAGAAGAAAATGAGCACAAAATTGACATTTAAATGTAGCAGATACTGCCACTGTCATGTACCAGCAGATGCTGCCACTGTCATGTACCAGCAGATGTTGCCACTGTCATCACACCGCTATAGCAATCGTAATAGGTACCAGTGACTGCCCATACGATTATGTAATAGCATTACATAACAGTTGAGATACCACCTAACATTAGGCTCCATATGGTCCTATAGGTCATTAGTAATGTAGCTCATGTTACATCTCCTTGAATGTACAATATTACTCACCTAAAAACTTCTCTTGCTGAAGGAGACTAATTACATTTTCATGTAAAATAATATATTCCAAAAACTTTCTTCTCCATATTAAAAATCTCACAAATGAACAGCATTTGAAATCACCATTGATAATAGTGATAGAAACATTATCACTAGAACTAAGTTCTAACTGCTATTCCTCCAAACGTTCCATAACTACACATCATAACAAGAAAAATAATAGAATATTGTTGCTACGCTCATCCAGTTCCATATTAGCATCAGCAGAAGGATCAAACAAGATCATAACTTCAAAAAGAAAGTTCCCTGCTATCCTAAAGACATGTGCCCACAAAAGATAAGTTTTATTGTTTAGTTTATGATTGGGACTAAATCCATATATAGCTACAATATATCACAAAGATTGTGGACTTTAACATGTTTCTAATTTGCCTATCATCATTTTCATCCAACTTCATTGATGAAATGGTAGTTGACTTTACTGTTCTTAATCTTCAATTTTATACTCTGTTTGTTTCGGTCGAAAACATTTTCTAATAGAAAACTTTTTCTACAAATAACTTTTTCCTGAAAATGGTTTCCTATATTTGATTGAAACCTTGAAACTATTGTACTAGTAATGGTGTGGTGGTGATGGTAGTGGTCTGTGCTGGCAATGGAGATGGTGGTAGTGTGGTGGTATAGGTAAGACTTTCGTTCAGAAAATATTTTTAATATTTTAAAAGTAGAAGACATTTTTTACCCAAATAAGCTTGTTCTTTGTTGACCACATAACTTTTTCTGTTCACTTCCGCTTTTTGTCGTTCCAAACACTAGAAAAATATGGAAAATGTTTTTCAGAAAAAAATTTCAACAAGGAGTGTTAATATGCAACATGATGAATACTCCCTTGAATTTGAGTGACCAAATTATGTGAAAAAAGAAAAAAGTATTAACTAGACTAACCACATTCACTTTTCATTTTCACATAACATTCAGCATATAAAATATCATCTTGAATAGCACGATCAAGGAAGAGAAGTGCTCTGTATTTCTAGGTATGTGCATTATCATTTTCAAAAAAGAATTTCAAACTTTGGGAAACATATCTCTGACAACCAAAGGGCAACGCAACCCCAACCAATGATGAAGCACATGAGCCCCAAGCCAATGCACACAAGCATGAGTTAAAAGTACAGATTAGCTTCCACAAAAACGTCAGGTAGTGAAATTCCTCGACAGATAGTGAGACAATCTGAGTGTTGTGATATTGAAGGTTTTAATAATGGTAAAACAAAGTCAAATATCATGGCAAGGTCAAGTGTGAAAATCCTAAATACCTTTATTTCAGAATTCTGGTTGGGAAGCAAGCTCCCTCAAACCCCAAACATAAAGTTGGATCAGCAACCTAGCGTGAAGTTGGATGGGCAATCAAGTAGTTAGTATCCAATACTCATTAGGATCCACTATATCCAACATGTAGTCTCTTTTGAAGGGTTTAAAAGTAATGGAACTATGAGGATGTATTGGGCTGGTTAGGCTATTAATATATTGTGAACAGTTGAATGTGGCTATTAATATATTGCAAATATGGCTACCGTTTATAAGATTACTATTGAGGAACCAATGCCTTTCTACTTCACATGACAAAATTATAGGGACAAGCCCGTCAAGTTGCTTATGCTCTCTTGTTCTCTTCCTCTATTATTTCTCCTTTCCTTTCATCCCCTCTTCCATTTCACTACACAGTGTACCTTAGTTGCAGGAACCTCCTAGTAAGGGTAACGAATCAGTTCCAAAACAGCGATTTCATAATTCAAAGCAAGGATCAAGTTTAAACCTCATTCCTATTAACAAAGAACTGTTCTCAACAGAGATGGAACCTCTCAAACATATGAATCCCCAGTAAACAAAAGAAAAAACTACAAAGCAAAGGAAAATCGGTGGCAGCAATAAGATGATAGAGAGAGAAAAAAAAAAAAAACTCAAATTTATTCAAGTACTTCGTATTTACATAATATCTGTTTATAATTTACAAAATAAAATAAATTTGTAGTTGACAACAATCTTCGACTCTCCAATACTCTCCAATATTTATTCATATTTTAACATATATATTACAACTAAGAAAAAAAAATCTTAGAATATAAAATATATAAATAAGTGCTTCAATAGACACTCCCAACCTTAGACTCTTCCATGACTTGTAAGCATGACAAAGAAGCATGAAATAGAAACTGTGTTTTCAAAAAGTGGGAATCAAATTGAAGAATGGAAAGGATTGAAGGTGGTGGAACTCACCCTTAAAATGTTCACAGTCGTTCACCCTCGTTCTTGCCTCGTCACTCGTCGTTCACAGTCGTTCGTCACTCGTCGTTCATAGTCGCTGCCTCGTCACTCCGGCGAAGGCCGTCGTTCACTCTCCTTCACTCCGGCACTGAATGATTTTCATTTGAGGATTTTGGGGATTCTGGGATTTAGGTTTTAATAGTTAGATCAATGGATTGGGATTTTAGGGATTTTGGTTTGGTGATTTTAGGGATTTTGATTTGAGGATTTTGGGGATTTTAACATGACCGCGAATGAGAGGAATGAGCGGGATGTGAAATATTTATTTTTTTGCGACGGGATATATACCACCGTCGCAAATGATACATCCTTAACAAATTAAAACGACGTCGTTTTACAAATATTTTTTTGCAACGGGATTCTGCCGTCACCGATGGTCCACCATTTGCAACAGTATCTTCTTATCGTTGCTAAATAATACTTTTTGCAACGGTATATCGCGCGTCGCAAAATCTCCTGCATTTTTCTTTTACAATCATTAGCGACGGAGGAAATTCCCGTCGCAAAAGGCCATTTTCCTCGACGGTAGAAAAACGCCGTCGCAAAAAACGTTTTTGGCGACGGCAGTTACCCCGTCGCAAAAGCCTCCGTGTTATTTGCTAGGTTTTCTTCTAGTGCTTGATGTCATCTAGGACTCTATTCCTCTATCCAAATATCTCAGATTCCAGTATTCCTGCACCATATCTCGACACCATGGTCCGCCCACGTGGCACCTCGACTACAACCTCGACCAGGTGAACTACCCAAAAAATATGTCCCCATAATTCTTGTATGGACATGTATTCTTCCATGATTTCCCAACTCCTTCAATTCATGTTTCATGATGATCTTCCACTTTTCTATTATCTTTTCTATATGGGTTCCATATTTTTTCATAATTCCCATCAACCTCCAAGTGTGTAGAAGTATGGCATGTATCCTACTTACATTAATGATTATAAAAATAATATGGTGCCAACAGTATCCATGATTAACCGATTTTCAGAAAAATGACTTTCACTAATTTTCTCTTTTATTTCTTTTATAAATTACTTTTGACATTCAAGATTCCAACTCCACATAATAAATATTCTCAAAAAATATATATTTGAAAAATAAATAAATTAAAAGAACAGATAGGAGCATTGATTGTGAAATCAGAAATCTCTCAAATGGGATCCACATGAGATTTGTTAGATAAAATATTCGTAAAATTTATAAATAAAATCACTTTTTACGTAGATTTTTATGTAATACGATAGGTTCCATTGATTATTAAATATGGTCAATTCTATAGAGAGATATAAATTTTATTGATCAATACATTTAGAAAGTGAAATAAAATTGTAATAAATAACATTTCTCTTTAGCCGGACATAAAAAAATGAGACTAATTATATATTATCAAAATAGCTTACCAAAACTCTTCACATCTTATGTGAATTTTTATATAACATGCTAGGTTTCATTATTTGTAAAATATGATTGGTCTTACACATACGTTTTCATTGCATTAATTCACTTATGCTGTGTTTGGTTGGGGGATTTGGAGAGGGATTTGAAAATAGAAAGGAAAAAGTGTGTGAAATTATGTGAAATGTAGATATATTTTATTTACATTTCACCTAACTTTTCCCTTTTCCTTTCCAAATCTCTCCTCAAATCCTTCAACCAAACACAGCGTTAAGAAATGAAATAAAGAGGTGACAGAAAATCGGTGACAAATAATATTTCTCCAAAAAATTATATATTCACTAAATTATTTGTCTTTAACACTCTATTTGAATTGAAGGCAGGGAAGGAAAGAGTTAATTGTGAGGGGAACTAAATGGAGGAAGAAGAAGGAGAGCAATGAAAAGCAAGCAATGCCACATTTACACAAACTCTTATTAAAAATATAGATGTCCAAACATCATTGAATGGTTTGTTTTATTATTTTATTATTTTTACCACCAATTACATTTGGCCTTTTGTATTTTTAATTAAAAAATTTAGTAAAATTATTAGTTTGTGTAGAATTATTCATGAAAAGCCTCCTTTCTCTTGTTTGATTAGACAATAGTTGATTAAAAAGATTAATTAGATTTTTTAATATATTATTAGAAAAAGAGGAAGTGAAATGTTTAAAGTACTCATATTATCTTTCTCTCATAATCCTTCCATGAATTTCTCTCACTCATCGCACATTTTCCCTCTTATAAAATAATCCAAACACGATTTAACTAACTTTACCCTCTAAATCCTTCATTTCCCCTCCTAAACCATCAATCCAAACGAAGTGTAAAAAAGAAGCTTTTATTTGCATATCACAATTTTTCTCATCACATATCATTAAGTTCACACCACAATTGTTATTTTTCTGTTTTTATTTTTTTCATTCACCCCACCAAGTTTTCTGTAATAATCATCTTCCATGTTCTAAAGCCACCACCCACTATGCTCATCACTAGGTTCAATTGCCCTCTTACGCTGTGTTTGATTTGAAGATTTGGGGAGAGATTTAGAAAGAGAAAGGGAAAAGTTAAGTGAAATGTAAATAAAATATACCTCCATTTAGTTTCACACACCTTTTCCCTTTCCTTTTTGAAATCTCTTCCCAAATCCCCCAACCAAACACAGCATTAATTACCACTCCAACCCCCTCTCATGTTGCCCCATCTCCAGTCCCGTCATCCCACCCTTTCTCCACAAACCCATCAACACCTCCACTGCGACCCTCCCTAGCCTTCCACACCACTAAGATCATCTCTCTAGCCCTTTCCCACCTCAAATCTAAGGTTTTTAGAAGATGAAAAAAAAAAAAAAAGAGGAGGGTTCACAGTGACTTAGGAAAAGGTAGGAGAGGTGCTACAAGGGTGAAGGGGTTCCGTCACAATGTTGGGGGTTGATGGGGCACCGACAATTAGGGTTTTCTACAACAAAAAATGGCGACATTTTGTGATGGGGTGTGCTTGTCATTAATGATAATTTGTTCGAAGAATAAAATTGTAATTAAAAAAATTTGTGTCAACTTAGATAATGTGTGATTTATAAATAGAAGCTCCTATATTTAAAAGTAAAAAATATGAACTCCACTAGGTACATGGAAGATTTTTACATAATAGGATACAAATATATGGGACAAATGGCAAGTCTCATATGTAAAATTCACCATATGTAAGACCCATCATCCTATCCACACTTACATTTACTTAGAAAATAATTGGTGCGTGTTGGGGAACTTGATAAAAAAAGCTAGTTTGCTAAAACAAAAAATCAAAAATTCAAAAAGTTTGTTACTTCATTGACAAAAAAAGTCCAAATATCACATAATTTTTTCACTCGCAAAAATATTTTTTTTAACTTTACAAGAAGACATCAATTACTTCTAAAAGATTATTAAATATGGTCAATTCTATAGAGAGATATAAATTTTATTGATCAATACATTTAGAAAGTGAAATAAAATTGTAATAAATAACATTTCTCTTTAGCCGGACATAAAAAAATGAGAGAAGGGAAAAAAAAAATTTAAAAATTGAATTAAATATAAATTAAATTTTTTCTTCATTTCTCTTTTTATTTCTAAATTCATATATAAATTCATGATTTAAACGCAGCGTTAATACTCAAATTTTTGTTTTGGTGATGGTGAGAGACCTGACAGCCCTTACCTACAGTACAGTTCACTCCTTTGTATAGTTCGTTTTTGTTTCTTTTTTTGTTCTTGAAAAAATAAATAAATAACTGATAAAAATTTTACTTGACACTTTTTAAAACACCTTCATCTGAATTGTTTTCACATAAAAAACAAAAATTATGAGTGGTTTTAAACTTTTCATTATTTTTGTTTTGAAAAATACCAACAAAAAAATGAGAACAATGCCAACCCTGTTCAACTCTACTAAGAGATAATAACTGATGAACCTGATACACCAAGGAAAAAGACATCAGCTTCATTGTATGCTGGGGCCAAACCATCCAAAGGTTTGCAAATATTCCAACATTACACAAATAATAACCACCCCACAACACAATAAATAAAACCTAATTAAGAGCAATGAATCAATGAGACCTTTCCCAAAATGCCCTCGATTAAAAACTCCATCCTGCAATTTCACATTTTCTAGCAGGTAAATAAGAAAAAAATAATCTCTTTTTATGTCTGCTTTCTTATATTTGCTTACCCTCACCCTCATGTTCACTGCTCTTCAATGCCTTCAATTTTCTGAATCCCTTATCAGTACCAAATATCCTGAAAATAGAATAAAATGTAGTCAGTATGCTATCTATCAAGCATTGTCATATTCATCACATTTTTAGAATAAGCTTTAAGCCAAAAAAGAGTAAGTATATATACACAAAATTAGACTGTCCAAAAATACTAACAATACATCTGATGGGCCCTATCATGTTGACGAGTCTTGATACTTTTATGTGATTTAATTATAAAAGCAAAAGCTCGTTATGATTCTAAGATGCCATATCCAGTTTACCTCTCAGAAACTCAATCATCATTATTACCTAGTTGGCTTGTAAAAAAGAAACACAACTAGAATATGCAAAAATGATGCTTTATATCATAATAATGTCTTTTCTATAACAAGTTTCCCACTGTAACCTTCAAAAAACAATGTCCATGTAAGGAAAAGATGGTATCATATGCATGGAGCAAAAGCATTGGACTTCAACAGAGTAATGAAAAGAAAATATATATATATATATATACACATAATATCTCTGAAAAAAGAAGCAAAAAATCTTCAATACGAAAGAAAAAAACAGATTCTATGACACCCTTTCCCACCTACTTGGAAAAGAAGAACAGATATATTTACCTTTTTGGGCATTTTTAAATTTAAGTCTGCCATCAAGAAAATATTGTACATATTCAGAGATTGTATATTAGTAATACATCAAGATAAATATTGTACATATTCAAGATAATATTGTACATATTCAGAGATTGTATATTAGTATCCAATCGAGAATCTTCTTCAAATAATTTACTGAAATTTTGAAGGTTGGCTCGAAAACTATTAAATAACTAATAGTAATACAGAGCACACACAAGTTTCTTGAATGACACGCCAAAGTTTTTCCTTTCAATATCAATGAGACCTATGTGCTAAGTGCTCATACACATATACATAGCATATGCAAGAAAACTTCTATGAAATGTCTAATTGATAGCATGCCAGATGTCAAATGAAACTTTCATCATCACATTAACATAGCAAGCCTAGTCACAAGTATTTGGGGTTGACTGCATAAATCCCTCCATCTTCTCTAGTAAGCTCTATCTAAAGCCATATCATCTGTTTAAGTCCAAGCCAATCATGATGTTCGTTCTCATGGCATCCATCAACATAATTTTTGAGTTCCTCTTGTCCTTTTGGCCCATTCAACATGGATCAAATTGCTTCTACGCAACAACACAATTATTCAACCACAAGGTATGAGAAACCATTTTAATTGGTTATGCCACTTCTAACTTCCATGGTGCCATTTCCACAACACCTTTTTTTTTGCAAGCATATTTCTTAACCATCTCTAGTCATTTAACTTTTGTTACATAAGTTTTCATTCGATTTAACAAGAATTCTAAATTCTCCGTTTCATTCATCCTGAACCATGTTTATAAGAAAAATCCTCCTCAATCTCCCCTACTTTATGTAGATACCGAAATGTCATTCTTAGAATCTAATGACTATCAAATTTCAATACCCTTAGGCCTCGTTTGGGAACATGTTATTTTAGTAATTTTTTGGTTTTTTACGAAAAGATGTGCAGAAAAGTAAATAAAGTAATATGACAACTTATAGTGACTTTTTTACTTTTTTGCTAAAATTGAAAGTTGCCAAACATTTGATTTGCAGACAAGATTAAGTGGGATAAGTTATTCCAAGGAAGGCATTTTGGATTTTTGGGACAAAAGTGTTGTCACGGGATAAGTTATCCCACCCTTCCCTCTGGGTGCAAAATAATTCCACATATGCTGGACAAAACGCCCCCTTGGAATCTGTTGGTGGGCCTCAGAGGCGAGCTCACCTATGCATAACAATCTATGCTCAGGGGCAAGTGGTTGACAAAGTGGAGGTTGCAGCTACTTAAAAAGCTGCAAATCTCAGTCTCCAGCACCTGCAACGGGTTGGTGGGTGTGCTCAGAATACAAAGTACAGTCACAAATCTCAGTCAGCATTTGAATTTGTTTTCTTATGGAGGCTATTTTTTTTCTGTAAGACTAGTCAAGGTGCAAGTCTCTTCAAGGGACAATGGGACAAGACACCTCGATGACTCTCATAACTACAAAGCCACATATCCTGGAGGCCCCACATAAGGGTCATATGTTGCTTGGTTGGCCTATGACACTGGCACCAACCCCCTTATTCCTGACCTAGGCTGGTTTGGTAACATCAGGGTGCCTTCAGAGAACAAGTATAGACCACAGGAGATATGTACTCAGTTGGAGAGTCGCTTGAAGAAATGAAGGAACCTCAAGCACGAGCTATGGAGAGGGGCTCACTTAGCTGAAGTGAGAGCAGGAGGCTCTACTCCACCAAGCCAAGGAATGTTGAACATGGCCTCAGGTGGAGAGGGAGACACACTTGGACAAAAGTCTACTCAGCCCAGCCAGGCGGTGGCTTGAGCACATCTATTTGGAGAGGATTAAGAGATAACTTGGCAATGGCCCCTCTATACCCTGGTCAGAATGTCTCCCTGAGGGAAGCATGTGGGGATGTAGGATTGGTTCATGTGTCAACTCACAAGGCAGACACATAGATCAAAACCGTTGACTATGTCGAAGTAGCAAACACATGGAAATAAATGTCCATGATATGGCCCGCCATGATAACAAAATCAGATGGATGGACCTATACTTTGCTACAATATAATTCTGATTTTTGTATATATAGCTATTATTGATAATTTATTGTCAAATTATTAGCAAATCTATTTTTTATACTTAAATTGTCAGTAAATCTTATGACTCATAATTTATTCATTTCAATTAACAAGTTCTTCATTACTATTTTGATTTCCATTTATATAGCTATTATTGTTTATTTATTGTCAAATTGTCATCAAATCTTTTTTTTTTTAATAAGCAATTTGATTTCCAAATATACTTGTGACGCTTATATACCTATGACGCTTATATACCTATCCATTTCAATTAACGAGTTAATCGTTACTAAATTTTACTTTCCTAAAATATAATTTTGGTTTCCTAATATACCTATTATTGTTTATATATTGTCAAATTATCAACAAACCCTATAACTCATAATTTATTCATTTAAATTAACAAGTCAAAAAAAAAAAGAATATGGATTGATGATGTGAAACTTGATTCCAAGATTATGCTTATAATGCAAACTTACTAGGTAAAAAATCATATAATGTATTCATCAGCAGACACTTGAAACAAATGAAGTTTGACACACCCTAAAGATCCAAACTACTTTGGTTTATCCTCAGGTTGCATGATTTGGAATCAATTACATTGCGTTTACCTTTTCTTTACATGTACACTATTCCACAAAAAAGGGTAAACCATCTTCATACCATGCTAAACTAACACAATTTTCACACTAAGGGCTGTTTTGGCAATAGGCTAAAATAGCCAAAAAGCTACTACGTAAAAGTCAACTCTTCTCTCTACTTTTCTGTAAGTCTTTTCATAAAAAGCCAAAAAACCAATTAAAATAGTCAATTCCCAAAACAACCCTTACTAAAAGTTGTTCAAATGCTACAATAATATAAGCCACCAATAGCTCAAAATGTAATTGTCACTTTTGGCATCAATTTGAAGTCATGAAATCCTCAAAATAGCAATTAAGATGAAAATTTTACTTCCTCCATCTAATACATATCAATTTAAATGGTTGTGTAAATTGGTCCAAAGACTTGTATGATGTATCTTGTACATGGAAAAGTCCAATTTCCTAAGATGCATGAACACTTCTAAGAAGACGTCATGTTCTTCTCCATGTTGGACACCGACACTCCCCAACATGTGCCAAACGTGTCCACTTTTATAGGTGTTGTTTGGCAGGACTTCTCAAAGTCCTTCCTAACCATAGATGTCCTTCAAAAAAACTATTGTATGTTTGGCAAGTTTAAAGGGTAATCCTAGATGTACCTAATTTTTTATCTACTATTTTACTCCTCTCACGTAGGGTGTGGGACCCACAACACCCCATGTGAGAGGAGGAGTAAAATAGTAAATAAAAAATTAGATACACCTAGCATTACTTGAGGTTAAAAAGGAAGGAATTCCAGTAAAAGTGATATGTCACGAAGTCCAATTCCAATAAGTTAGCTAGAGTGGCTTCTAAAATGACTTGTTGGAAAGTCTTTCATTTAATTTAAGTAAAAAGTACATATTCTCCATACTATCCTTATTGTATGTAATAAACTGCCCATAATACCCCGAATATCCTTATTGTTAGTTTCAAATATATATATATATATACATATCTTTGACTTTCTTTTTTTGGGTGATACATCTTAAGCTTTTTTCTATACATTACAATACATTTGTTAATTTTGAATATATATGTATATGTATATACAAAAAGACATTAAGGTCATGTTTGATATCCATCATCAACGTTGGAATTAGATTACCAATTCTATGAACCCCACAAATTTGACGTTTGGTTGTTTTAAATTGGACCGACTTCAAAGGACGTCCAAAGAAACCAATCACTACACTTACATCTTTTCATAAAAGTCCTCCTTATGAAATTCTCCTTACAAATTCCTTTTTCATGAAGGACTTTCAAGTACAAGAAGTTACGCCAAACCGGCAGACATTTGGGGGACGCTTGTTTCTATCACTTAGATACACATGAAAAGCATTGCAAGTTTAAAGAAAATAACTTGAAAGCCAATATGATTACCATCAAAATAACAAATTTATACCCATTAATTCCTACTTTAAGCATTTTAAATTTAAGAACCCAAAAGTCTAACTCCTCCAAAATAATAAATTTATACCCATTTCAAGGCTTCCACTCAGTTATAGCACACTAGAGATTTTGTGTTTAATATGTTATGGAATCTGTCAATCTAATCATAGGGGACTAAGGGAGAAATTCATATGTTCTAATAAACTAGTTTGAGTTATCCCAAGGCACAGTTCCATTTAACTATAAGTAACTCATCCTGCCACTGGGGTGGATCTTTCGCTAGCCTTGAACACAATCCAACTTATCTAAGCTAACCAAACACAACCGACCTACTGCTAATGTCTCCCAACCACAATTGATGATAAATTTTTGTACAAAGCATATCTCTATAAAGGACTTGTGCACTTGGATCCATCCCAAAATAACAAATACTAATAACATAACAAATTTTGAAAGAAAAAAAAAAACATCATAATAACACAAGGAGGATGACAAAACTTGAACACACCTTAATTTTCTCCATATCTGAAATCTTGATGCTAGAGCCAATTATGGTAATCAGATACCAAATCAACAAAAGGTTGAGAGAAAAGCCAAGTTGCGAAATTAACATAGTCCACTACAACCAACAACCCTAAATCATGTTTCTCCCTATATAGTGTTCTGCTCTCTTCCTACCATCAGAAAGATGAGCTCTGTGTCATCAAATGCCTAAATCAAAATCTAGGTTCAATCTCTAGAACCATTTATTCTCACTAAGCACTTGCCAAAACTCCAGCAGATTGAATTTTGCCACGACATCATTCAGCTTCAATGATGAAATGTGAATATTTATATAAATCAAAACATTAAAAACCAAAATTTAGTCCATAAACTGAGCTCTTCACTGCAAATTTTCATATATTTCTCATTTTCTCTTAATTTTTTGTCCAGGTGCCACCTGCACGCGAGGTATACCAAGTTTGTTGTCACAGTCCCCCAGGATGTAACTGACATTAACTTTCTGGTCAATCCATCCTGAAAACATAAACTAGACACTTGAAAGGATAAAAAAAAGGACTGTAACACAAAACTGTGAGAATATATTAGTGTATATATTGCATATATTGTGAGATTGTGTAAATATTCTGTGTAATTAAGCATTATTCGTATTTCCTATTCAGTCTTAGGGTTAGAGTTACTACATACGATGATTATATTCTCACAAAAACATATGTGCATCTCTGCATTAATCACTTCAAATGGATCCATGTTTCACCAACTTGGTACATAAATGTTACAGCAACCAGAAAAATTCACATTCCAACTTTCATACAAACCAGATTGTTTATGCTCTGAAGCAATGTATTCAAAACCTTACCAATCCATGTAAACAAAAGTTGAGGAATAGTTGCCAGACTTTGTGTACAGCAGTCGATGATGATAGTCATGAAAATCAGCACTGTAACATTAATGAAACAAATGTCAGGCACATCAAGCTAAATGGTTGCATGGGTGACCTTAAAGGCTGCTAAGAATAATCAAGAAGAAAATGAAAATACGCACCCTCCATATAAAGGTAAGAAGTTTGAGAGGCTCCAGGGGAAATGATAACCACAATGTGCCTCAACAGTCTCAAGAACTCTAACTACCATCCACAGCCACAAAGTTATCAGATGGGGCCCAGTGATTGCAGGACCAACAATCGTAGCAAATCCAAGGAACAGGATCTCAGCAGGGTGAGCATACTCGGACGTCAGTCCAAATGGTGTCGCATACCTGTAGATTCAAAAAAAAAATACAGATGCGAACACAAGAAGCTAAACAGAAATAAACACTTCAACAACTCCGCAATTAGTACAAGCACTTCATGATTTCCACTTACTCATGATGAACACTGTGGACATGCTTGTACAGCCATTTTGTATGTAAAATTCGGTGTCCCCAATAGAATACAAAATCCTCCAGGATGAAGTAGAATAAAATCTGCGTAGAAATTACTTTCCTGCTCAACCAAAAGGTTCATCAATCACTCCAAACACGGCGTACAGATCAAATACGATGAAAATGTACAACCTTACTGGCATTCAACAGAATTGACATAACTAATTTATCAAAAGTAATAAAAGAATCACATATGATACAAAGAACGTGAAAATTAAGCTTTAGTATATAAAGAACCTGAAAGTACCAGGATGGCAATGGGAGACTACTTCTCATGCCCATGGCCCTGAAGACAGGATACGAAGCAATCATAACTGGTAGATTGACGCAAAAATGATACAGCAGTAGGCGAGTAATACATTTCTCCTGAGCTTCAGGGGAGTTATTTTTTTTCTGCATTGGACCACAAATTGACAATAATACCAATAAATAAAGATCCAGCAACATGAAGTCAAACAGGCATGTTAGTCACTGATTGCACTGTAAATTGTAATAGCACTGAAAAGAAATTCTAGAATTTATGGCCCAAGTTATTAGCAAAACTGTATACAACTTTCATTATAGTCTCTACTATAAGGAGTAACATGGTGAAGACTTATACAAAACTGCTCTGCAATACATCACAGATTCAATGATTATGATGACAAGGACAATGACAAAGTTACTAATATGAAATGTAGACTCTGTGTGTTATGATATCTAGGAATCAGGTGACGACGTATGAAAAGGATCAAGATATGTGTTTAACAACCACTTCATCCTTTTTGGAATAACAGACAGTGTGCATAACAAAGAACAATCTTGGGTCCCAACAGCAGCATCAGGTTTGTTTGGTTATAATATTGTTGTATCAAACAATTCAAACCTCTTTCCTTAGCTCGGGTACAAACATATATTATCAATATATTAGTCAAACAGAGTAATCTTGTAATGAAGGTATAAATGACTGCCACAGTTAACAATGTCACAAATAAAGATGCAGCAGCATAGAAATCAAATTAAGATTGAACATGTTGGACTAAGTCTTTTGTTAAGACCGGTGATGTGATCATTTAAAATGAAGGAGATAGTTATTCATAATTGTCTAGTTATTAGAATCTGGAGAAAAGAAACAGCCAGCTAATTTGACTTTCAGAAGCCAGGATTAATATGCTGCTAGCAGAAGGGATATGCAGCTAACTCTTGGCTTCAATTTGTTACCCATCCAAACTCAAAATAATGAAATGTATATAAGTAAAACACAGCACCCATCCTGTATGCTAAGATCTGAATCACCAACTAGATTGCATTTGCTGCCTCATTACGCAGCTTCAAAGAAAATAGTAACAGGGCTCGTATCCAGCATAACTACGTTTGAAAAGCCATGTGAATTTATTTTTTCTTTCATGCTTGTATTTCTAATCATATAAAGAAATTAATCTTTCCAATTCAGTAACAGCAAAAAAGCCAGGAGAGAAAAACCTGAATTTTGTACTTGCTCAGCCATCCTGCTCTTTCAAAGTATATAAAAGGTAGTCCCGATAAGAAAAAGACACTTTCATGAAGAAAGAAACTCCCGAGACATGCCAATTGAAAATCATTGAAATGAGTGATCAAAAACTGCAAAATATAAGCATTATAATTTCATAAGATGAGAATAGTATTCCATAATAATGAGAACCATACAAACCATGAATGCATCACAAAAGTTTATAAATGTCAACAAGTGATCACCCCAAATAACAAGAATCTCAAGATCGAATTGAGACGCATTCCTCTATTTCCTTCCATTTGAGATGTATAAAATAAATTCCAGTATACATTGGGGGTGTTTAGGAAGGATTTTTTTTGGTTTTTTTTCACTAAAAGACAAATTGGTTACAAAACCAAAAAAACCAAATCCAAACAAAATATCACAGCAAACCCCATAATCATTTCACTTTTTCTCTCACAAACATCACATCCAACCACAAAAAAACCCAACTATATTCCCAAACACAAAAAAAAATTTCTCCAATAATATCCTACAACTAAAAAAACTTACAAAAACACCCACTTTCCAAACACCCACATTGTACCAAAGGAAAGTCCATGCAGGCACCTCCACTCTTTTTCTTTTCTTTTCTTTTTTGCCCAAACACCTATACTTTTCTAATAGTGGTATCGTATATGGCAGCAACAATTTTTCATTTAAAGTTTTGGTGCAAGCCACATTATTTAATTATTTACCCCAGAAACACATATCCCTTTCATCTACAGAAAAAATAAATAAAATGTCTACGCAATTAGAACTCTGCTACATCATTTGGAACTCTCACTATCCACCAAATTCTTACAAAGGAAAAGATAAGCCAGACATAGCAAGTCCCGTCGATATATGTCGAAAGAGTCAACAAAAAACTCCTACTGAAACTTATATATTAACAGAATAAAAGAAAGGGAAAGCAAAGACATACGTTGTAAGGTTCGAATTGTTTGACAAAAAATAAGCTATACTAGAAACTGTTATGTGCCTGTTCAGAATATCATCAACAACCACCATCTAGAGGAAATTCCATAAGGATGAGGCTTCCATCCAGTTTAGTGCATAAGGGTCCACCTCAGTTCCAATTCAGTGATGGGAAGCATTTAATTTTTAGTACCTCTGAGTACATTTGAACGGTTCATATCAACGAAGTGTAGCCAAGGTAGGCCAAATTAGCCTAAACTAGACCCTCCAGTCCATTATTTAGACCGGAGAGAAGCCCCATCCCTTTCGTAACTAGTCGTATTTGCAGGCAATGACTACACCGGAATAACCAATAATGGTCTTGCTACTCAATTTCTTTTTGATTTATCTTTTCCAACTACAATGTGGCAATTACTTAGGCTATTTTTGGTTGGAGGATTTGGTGTGAGAAATGGAAATGGAAAAGGAAATACGATCCCATTTTTTGTTTGGTTATAATGGAAAACATAAGGGAAAAGAAAGTGAGAGGGAAATGCAATCCTACTTTTTATCTTTTAGGTTAGGCTCCTTTCTTTCTCTATTTTCCAACTCCACCAAACCTAGCTTGGAATTCGAATCCTATCAATTTTTTCTCATTTTCTTTCTATTTCCCTTTCACTTTCCATTTCTCCCATCGAATCCTCCAATCAAACACAGCCTTATACAGAACTTCATGAACCCAAAAAAATATATATGTTCCGTCCAAATAAAAAAAATAAAAATAAATAAATAAATAAAAAGAGGCGTGAAAATGTATCTACTCAATCAACAAAGGATCGTTTGTCAAATCAAATATACAAATCCAATGTTGATTATGGTTTTAGAACAGTAAATTCAATAATAATAATTTGAGGGAGAGATAGGGAGAGCAAATTGAATTGTCCTTAAAGAAAAATGGAAAAAGTAAGTCATGGATATGCTTTTCAAATGCTACATTCGTAGATACAATTGCGTGTAGACACTACAGATGCATACATGCAGGTATACAAACATATGTAAATGCGTTGAACAGATCGAAATGTAACAATGCTCGACGTGATAAAAGCATTTTCAAATTCTTATTATAAAAATAAAAATAAATAAAAAAAAGTGAAATCTAGGGCATGAAAAAAACTGATGTGTGTAAGTAGAGGGTAATCCAACAGTGGAAGTAGGAGAGACACAATACCAGCCAACCAGATTCAATGATGGAAGCCATGAAAATCGGCAGAGAGAGAGAGAGCAGTAGTAGTAGAAAAAGAAGAGAGAAACAGAGGGCCACGAGTCTCTAATAGGAAGACAGACTGTCGGGGGAATCTCCGCTCGTGGTTTATTTATATAATCACGAGCAGAGGCGCCCGTAGAGATAGAGATAGAGATAGAGATAGAGATAGAGAGATATTTGTAATACACAAAACAAAACACGCACGCAAACACTCTGAACTTGCCGAACGCGAATGATTGGTTACAAAGCTGTGTAAAATATTGTTTAATTTGTTAAAATTGTATTAATTTGTATTAATTAGTATCACTCTATTCATTAATTACGGTTTAAATTTTAAATTTTATAACTTATCTTTGAAATTATTCCGTTCTATTATAATTAATATATATATTTTTTTTTAATTTATAATAAAATATCAAAATAAAAATGAGTATGAAAAAAATTTGATACGTGAAATTTATTAAAAATTATTAATAGTTATATATATGAAAAAAAATTATGTAAAATTAGTTTGCCTTACATATATGAAAAATATTATGTAAGTTTTTTCAATCCACCAATTTATCTAAAATCGTTCAAATCACAATTTGTAGATCTGTTAATCTACAAATCCGCCGTTTAATATATAATTGTGCAAATCCATCGTTTAATTTATAATTTTACTATTAAATCGTCGGGCACAGCCTTAATTACCGCGAGGGAGGATGTGCTGTGATTCATGAATTTTGACTTCATCACTACTGCCACGGGGAAAATTACAGCCCAATGGGGACAACCCCAGCTATAGGGATGGCAATTTGAAACCGGCCCGACAGGGATCCGACCCCTCGACCCCGATCAGAATGATTTTTTCCTGAAAAATATCCCCGTGGGAAAGGGGATGGTATTTGAAATTAAATCCCCGATTAGCTTCGGGCCGGGGACGGGAATAGCTTTCACAGCCCCGTCCCCGTCCCCGATTTTCTCCCCGAAATGAAATTACTATAATACCCCTATATATATATATATATACACGGCCTCACTCACACCGTGTGTTAAAAGCCTTGGTCACACGGCCCCAGCGTTAGTCACACGGCCTCTCAAAAAACAGACTCATTCACTCACACGGCCTCTCATCTCTCTCTCTCTCTCTCTAAGAGCCTCTCTCCTCCGCCACTGAAACACTGTCCTCTCTTTCACCGCCGCCGCCGATCTCCCTCTCCGCTGTCCTCGTCTCCCTCATCCGTCGCTAACACGCTGTCCTCCTCCGCCGCTGACACGCTGTCCTCCATCCTCTCTTTTACCGCCGGCGCCGATCTCCCTCTCTGTTGTCCTCCTCTCCCTCCTCCTCCGCTGTCCTCAGTCTCCCTCCTCCTATTCCCGTTGAACACAGATCTGCAAACTCAGATCTCAACCATCAACGCTAGATCCTCTCATTCGGCGATCTCTCTCTCTCTCTCTCTCTCTCTATACTTAGATATGTCTCTCAGATCTCTCGCTCTCGTTGTAATGTTGATGTTGTTTGATGATGATGTTGGTGTTAGTGTTGGTGTTGATGTTGTTCGATGATGATGATGTTGTTTGATGCTAACTTGTTGCTGTTTGAATTTTTTTTTTTTTTGTCCGGGGAACTTTCGGGGTCGGGGAAACCCGATCCCCGTTGGGGGCGGGGATGGGGACTCTGATAGGTTTCCTGTCGGGAATCGGGGCCGGGGCCGGGGACGGGGAAGTTTTTATCATCGGGGATCGGGGACGGGGAGTGTGGTCCCCGGCCCCGCCTCGGCCCGTTGCCATTCCTACCCAGCTAGCTCCATATGGAGCCTCACTTTCTATGGCATCTCTTCTAGACTGACTCCAACACTGACTGGTTTGGCGATTTTGATATTTTAGTTGGTTTTTTCATTTTTTAATTATTTTAATTTAATTAGTATTAAAATTGTTATATTTGGGATAATAATTAGTTTTTTAGTTGATTTAATGATTTTAAGACAAAAAATAAAATACTTATAATTTGAATGTAATATTTTATTTTATTAATTTTTTTAACCTATTTTATTTTTATGGACTATTTTAATAAAAAAAAATCTAAAACTCAACTTGCCATTGCCAAACACCTCCATTGGAGGATGAAAATATATGCCTGTGTTTGGCAAGGGCTTTTTCAGGTTTTTTTGACTATTTTAGCCACAAAAAACAAAATAGGCTATTTTAGCCATAACAAACAAAACATCACATCCAACCTATAATCATTACTTTCTTCTCTCACAAAAAAAGTCAAAAAAGACAAAAAGTCAAAAAGCTCTTCCCAAACCAAGCTTTTTAGCCAAGGCTAAAATAGCCAAAAAAGTCAAAAAGCCAAAAAGCCAACCCACTTCCCAAACGGAGGCATAGTCTTTTTAATTTAAAAAATGAATATAGAGTATTCTACTATTTACTGAGACTCTAATCACCAATCATCATTTGTTCTTTAAAGATTTCACTCTAGAATATTTTCATTAAAAGGTGAATAATTTTATTTATTAATAAATATTTAATTTTCAAATTTTTGTTAAATATATTTAATATTATATTCATTTTCAATGTATGATTTCACTCTTTTTACTGATAATACTTTTATAAAAATTAAATTTATATATTAAAAATTATTTGTAATATAATCAAAAATATAAAATGAATACTGTTATAAAGATCATTCTCTATTTCTCATATTCCCTCTATATTTGAGGATCATCACCCATCCTTTTCCCAAATGAAGATGATTTTAGAGGATGGGTTGGAGCTCGAATTTCTTCATGTATGAAGATATAAAGGATGGATTGGAGATGCTCTTAATGGAATGGTATTGTTTAGATTTGCGAAATTTGTTATGGGTTTTGTTTTAATAATTTAAGTAGTTCATTTTGTAAAAAATTTCATGTCTATCATTTAAAAGAAAATTAATCAATAAATCGTAACTTATTTAATTTGTCTCGTTTGTTATTAAAAAAAATTAAATATATTACAATTATCAAATTTACTCTCTTTTTTTTTGTAAATAATATATACGAAAGAATTCAGTAAAATAAACTATTCAAATATTCGAAACAATACTTATTGTGAACCTTACAGACCTGTACCCTCCAACCCAAGGACCAGAGGGGAGGCCCATCTTGCTCCAAATATATAGTTTGAGGGTATATTTTCATCAAAACTGACCTTGATTTCCTTTATTTTTAATTATAATAATTAACCTTTCACACTTTGAATTAAAGTTACAATATCACATTTTCAAATTCAATAGAAATTAATAAAGTTAACGGAACTTGCCATACAAAAGACATGTTATACTTTTCTCGTTGTTTGTAATCTTACACTTTTCCGAATGTCTCATTTTAGTAATTACATTTTTACTAAAGTCTCACTTTGATTCTTCTATTTTTAATTTTCTTCAATGTCGTTTGCAATAAACCAATGAAATGATAATATTGCAATTTGACTAACAGTGTAAATGATGAATTGTTGCAATTGAAAGTAATTGAACCAAAGAGTAATTTTAACAAAAGTGCATAAGTGAAAAATATTTCCATTCTCTTTCTTTTTTTCTCATTTTTTGACCAATGACGTCACAATTATCGACATAAATCAGATATTATGATCAGCTTATGGACATATTGACCAAGGACAGAACTACTAGTAAGCAATGGGTGTGTTTGTTTGGACGGACTGGATAAAGGGGGATTGTAATCACTGCAGGAAAATTGACTTTTACTGGCGTTTCAAAAACGTCGCTAAATATATCAAAAACGCCGGCAAAACATCTGCTGGCATTTTAAAATTACGTCGAGAATGCGGCCGTCGCTATAACTTTGCGACGTTTAATAAACGCCGTACAAGATCTTTCGCAGCGTTTTTTCAAACGCTAGCATAGAAGTCGCCCATACTAAACTTATAGTGGCGTTTTTATTAAAACGTCTCTAAAAGCCTTTTTTTAAAAAAATAAAAAAAAAGAAAAGACTAAACCTAATCAGAATTTTTCCCAAATAAATTTACAATAAAACAACAAAATCTAATCAAAAGATGTATTCCTTCCCGGCAAAACATCTGCTGGCGTTTTAAAATTACGTCGAGGATGCGGCCGTCGCTATAACTTTGCGACGTTTAATAAACGCCGTACAAGATCTTTCGCAGCGTTTTTTCAAACGCTAGCATAGAAGTCGCCCATACTAAACTTATAGTGGCGTTTTTATTAAAACGTCTCTAAAAGCCTTTTTTTAAAAAAATAAAAAAAAAGAAAAGACTAAACCTAATCAGAATTTTTCCCAAATAAATTTACAATAAAACAACAAAATCTAATCAAAAGATGTATTCCTTCCTCCAAAAAAAACAAAAAACAAAAAAAAGAGAGAGAGAGACCAACAAAAGCAAAATTCAAATTACACAATTCACAATAACTTGAACATTAGATCACTTTGATCACCTTTAACATTCAAAATAAATTAAAACCAATTAAGCCATAAATATTTTAGAAAATACAAATTTGACCAATGAACAAAAAATTAAAAATATTTACAAACATGAGTAGATCATGACACACTACTACTTCATGATACTAAGTTCACTTTCTGCCATGGCTGCTAAGGTGGTACTCCACATGCCTGCACTGGAAACAAAATAAGACATCTATGAGAATTGGACAAGTTGTTTGGATATAATAAAAACATTATTAGACGTAATCAACAGCAACAATACACATTAACAAATTACTCAAATGTAATTATAAGTAATTAACTATAACAAACTAATGAGGGCAATGTTATGGAACAAACGTGATAATGACAGAAAGAGCACTAGCAGCCATCATGAAGAAATCAAAAATAAAAATAAAATAAAATTCAAAAGGTAATAAGATAATTGGGAGTGTTTGGAATGAGCCCACTATATTATCCGTGTTTGGCCTCATCAATATAGCCAATTATTTGTGTAGAAAAATCAGTGTTTGGGTGGTGTGCAGCACATGACAACATGGGCAACCCAAGTGTTTGGGTGTCTGAAGTACATGGTATGTGTCAGCAAATCATATGATAAATAAAAAATCATCTTGAATCTGCAGACTAGCTAAAAAGAATTTGCAAATTGGGGGAAACAAATTTGCAAATTGCCAGCAATTTTTGCTCTCAATTTG